CTTGGCTCTTGCAAGTAGGCAACAGGAGCACTTCTCTCCACCGGTCTGATATTTGGTTTAATTAAACCCTCCGCACCTGGCCGCTGGGGCGAGCTGTTTCCAGGGCCTCCGTCTGCGTCTGCGAGAAGAGATCCGAATATGTTCTTAACTGTCGATGATGGCGCTTCTTTAACCTGGTTTGCATACTTTGGTCTAAAGAAGACAAGAAATGGCATCGAAAGGTTTACTTGATTTTTTGAGAAAGACTAAGTACTCCTACTACGACCAAGGAGGCCTCACGTTATGACCCATCTGTACCATTTGTTTTAACAAAAAGAAGTGCTGGCGAATTATTGGTCCTCCAAGTGTATAAGCTGCTGAATCAAACGACAAATTTCCAGGACTAGCATATATGTTTTTAATTATGTCTTCGGTGTCCAACTTTCGCACCTTTCCCGTCATCTTCACTTTTATTCACTCTTCAACTTTGGCAGATCTAGGACTAGGAGCAACACGAGAATAGGGTGCCTTCTCGGCAATCTAAATGCTGGCTACCCGGCGCATCGATATATTGCACGCGGTATGATGGTCTTTAGTGCAGACAGCTCGTGTCTAACCAATGTTCGGTCAGCGGCACAGCTGATCTTAAGTCCCTCCTGGCGAAGGTGAAGAGGTTTCTGGCTCGACTTAAGCAGAATAGCGTCATACCTAGCAAAGACCGGTATAGAGTAGAACCTCGATTGAAGAGTTTAATCCGTTCAAGCACGTCACGCTCTTGGTGGGAGACGGTTACGGCGTGGTCGAGTCGGCGCCGCTAATTGTCTTCGTGGTCAGTTAGAAGGGGACGCCACAGAGCACGGTTGAGAGTACAATGCAACCCCACGATTGACCGGATACACATCAAGCAAAGTGCGTATTATAACCAGAGTCATGAGCATGGCTTTCCACTGTCTGAGACACAATAACTAGATCCAATAAACATCTCCCGATAAACGCTCCTTTTTCTTTTGTGATTGACGGTGTTTACAATAGTCACAGGCGCTGGATACGGACACCAGTACACGCTCAAGTAGATACAGAACAAGCTATTTACCATTAATGACACATTTTTAGACCCCGACTCGTGTAGCAACTACTTGTGCAAAGGTCTATGGCAAACCATTCAATAAATGCTACTCATACAGGCGTTAAATATATTGGTTTTAAAATCTCTATCACTTATACGTCCTATGTGATTTGCAGTTGCATACCATCCTCCTACGCATACTTATAAGTTAGTATGCCTCTTTAATGCCATCAGTATATTTAATTTTACTGTGACGAGCTATTTCTACAGATTTCAAACACTCGACCACGTAGTATAAATAAATAAATAAAAGTTTCGGTGTGCTAGTTAAAGAAGGGAAAGCAACTGAGTGTTACGTCAAACGTTTTAAGCGACATTTACTGGATCTGGATCGTGTAGCCGAGACTTCACTCTCTTGGTCTAGTCCTCCAAAGGCTGGGCCCCTCGGAAATTCCCGAGTCTCTGGTGATCAGTATCCGCACACCTTTTTCGAAAGTTATAGAGCTTAACTAGGCGATTCTGATCAACTCAGCTCCTCATCTTCTTGTTTAGATAGGTCAATAATATGTTAAGCCTGCTAAATAACGTTTTTGGGGCCAATTTCTAAAACTCACCATACACTTCACAATAGAACCATTAAATATAGTCCTGTTCGATCATTCCAGAGAAGAGTAATGCATATATGCAATGGAATAGGCCTGATTATTTTCTACAAATGATTCTTCGCCGGTCCATTTTCTACTAACTCATAAAACGACTATTGCACGCATGTTTACTGTTGACGCCCTTCCCATATAAATATAATAGCCCGATGAGAATTCATCGAAAGCTTACTTATGTTCGCCAACTGCTCTTCTGAAAACCGTTTTAGTTACTGGCCTGAAAAGGTAAAGGCTACTAAATTAAGTAATGAGTGGAGCCGAGAATAACGTAAAACTTTGTGCACTAATTAAATTACGCCTATTTAAGTGATTTATGTGATCGATTGGAACGTTTCTTAATGGGCTGCCAGTTCCTCGAGGTATATGACGTCATAAAAGAATATTTTCCGGAAAATATGACCACGCCCTATTCCTTAGTAGAATCCTCAAAATGCCCTTTAAATCCGTACACGGAGGTTCAATAAGAATCGCCTTCGGGACAATTTAAGTTGCTGCAAAACCCGTATGAAAATCTGGATGTCTTCTTACAAACATAAAAGATTTCGTCGTGTACACTCTAATTTGCTAAAATTCTACATGCATATTAAAATTGACAGTCACTAAAGCCCCCCTACTCCTTCTAGTTACGATTTAGTGAGTAATTCACTGTCCTGTATACTTGTTACAACTTTTTGGCTCGTTTTTACTTAATCAAATTGTTTTGGAAAGTA